CCTGCGCTGCCCGGCCGCGCTCACCGCGGACGCGCGACAGGCACTCACACCCAACATACTCGCACTCGCCAAGTCACCGCTACTGCAAGGTACACTATATCTATACTCATAACTGTTGCTCGCGACTTCGTCTGCATGATAAAACAGCAAAAGTTATACCCTATGTTACTGATAGATAAATTATCTTTCTGATAGTTAAAGAATTTTAGAAATTGGCCTAGTAGTTTTTGAGTTATTTCAATACATACAAAAATAAATATACATATCTAAAGTATGGTTAATTTGTACTCAGTGTTATGGAAATTCATGTGGACGAACCCGCATGGGAACAGCTAGTCTATACTTATATAATAAGGCGTAACACACAATTCTTCGTTATATAGGATGTCAGCAATCACAGTATATTTTGTATTAATAATACTTTAGGGGTTAAATAAATTATAAAAAAGCACAAAAACTACAAGCCAATATTATCTTATATTAGCTTATGTCAAAAGCCTTAGAAATTAGTGACTACATGATGATAAATTCTTTACACATTGTGCCGTATATACATTAGATTTATTACTTTACTGTTGATTAAAAATATTAAATCCAAAGATTTAAGTAAGAAATATAGTTTAGTACAATGCCTGCATGTGTGACATTTCAGGCGGTGCTCTGAAGGCGATGCTGGGCGTGCTGAGCGCGCTGGTGGCGGCGGACGTGGCGGGCTGCTCGCGTCGCGACCTGCTGGCCATGCTGGTCGCGCCCGTGCACACCATGCACGACCACAACGCCTCGGCACACCACATCAAACAGGTAACAACACAACACAACACAACACATCACTGTGCATACACCCACATTTATACCTCGGATATCCTTCATTCATTTATTTAAAAGTAGCTATTGCACGCGAATCCGTCTGCATATAATTAAAACAATATAATTAGTAGCCTATGTCTGTGTTCTTGCACACTATATTCTCCATCTAGACAAAATTTCATCTAGATCCGTTTAGGACATAACTCCTAACCAACATCCATTCATTCATTCGTTCATCTAAACTTTCATATTTATTACATTTTTAAGGCATGCAATACCACATACAATGTTTGCCTTCATCTCTAGAAAAATTAATGTATTTCTACCACCAGTAACTTTATTTTTCACTTAGGTTGTTTTGTGCGATTTTTGGTTAAAAATGGTTTTACATACGTACGCGATGTTATTTATCTGTAAATTTCTGAGCGATATTCCAGTAATAGATGTGTATGTTGCGTGTTGTGTCAGGCATTCCACTCGCTGGCGAAGTGCGTGGGCGCGGTGGTGGTGGAGGGCGGGTCTGACGCGCTGGAGGTGGTGCGCGGCTTCCTGCGCGACGTGCAGCAGCCGCCCTCCGACAACCACCACATGTTCGCGCTCCTCGCACTCGCCGAGATCGGCCGCAGGCTGTCAGTATACACACATCACTTATGACACACAAGCTTTTTTTGTGACTTGAGACTGCCTTGAAGAGTAATTTATAGATACACCAGGCTTAAGATGGTCACTAAATTTTGTTTATGACTAGTAACTAGCTTTCGCCCGCAACTTTGTCCGCGTGGAATTAAAAAAAAAACAAAAAGGGTAGCCTGTCTGTTCTTTTAAACTATCCTCTAAACCTGTGCCAAATTTCATCGAGATCCCTTCAGCCGTTTAGGCTACGAACTCTAACAAACATCCATCCATCCATCTAAACTTTCGCATTTATAATATTAGTTTATGAGTAATTATGCTCGAAAACCCAGGGGTCTCGGCTTCTGTCGTTACTTTATTACAAACGGATCGGAAGGCCGCCGAGCTCTTAGATCGCTTCGGTGGACCCTCCATAAAACCCCCGAGTTCACAAGCAATATTTTATGCCAATTTCATTTTGTGACACTGACTAGAGGGCGCTAGTGTGCTATCATAAATTGGTTTCACTTATGCGTCTGATATCCTTGTCAATCTATAGATGTACGATTTATAATTGAAATGACTTAAAAATAACAAATGACATGCTTATTTTACTCTTGTATTCATAATTTTTTTAATGTGTAACATAATTCGCAGGGACCTAAGTTCGATACCGAACTTAAAGGAGGTGGTGTTGAACTCGTTCACGCCGTCGTCGGAGGAGGTGAAGTCGGCGGCGAGCTACGCGCTGGGCTCGGTGGCGGTGGGCAACTTGCCGGAGTTCCTGCCCTTCATCCTCGGCGAGATAGAGGCGCAGCCAAAGCGGCAGTACCTCCTACTGCACTCACTCAGAGAGGTTAACATTGTTTATTAACTTTCGACCGCGACTACGTCCGTGTGGAATTACAAAAAAAAAAACACAAAAGTAAATAGTAAAATATCCACTACATCTTTGCCAAATTTCATCAAGTTCTATTCAGCCGTTTAGGCTACAAACTGTAACAAACATTCATCCAGCCATCTAAACTTTTGTATTTATAATATTACTAAGAATTTCATTTAAAATATTTAAAGATTTATGTTATTTTATAAATATTTCTTGCAACCATTCCAGGTAAGCTTGCTTGTGTTAATATACAGTTCACGACAATAATCGAATGCCGGGATTCGAACAAAACGCTTAAGATAAATAAATTAACAATTAAATATTGGGTTTACATTGTAATTATACTATTTAAAAGGCAAACCAAACAAAATTATTCGACATAAAAGTTGAAATTGTATATACATGTTTTCTTTCAGATAATTTCGTGTGAGTCGTGCAGTCCGGAAGGTATAGAGGCTTTGAGACCTTTCATACCGGAGATTTGGGTACAACTTTCTAAACACTGCCAATGCGCGGAGGAAGGATCTCGTAACGTCGTATGTATTACACTTTTCTAGATTACCTCAGTACCATATTATTTTTATTCTTAGTAAAAACCAGCTGGTCCCGTACGACTTCATCCGCATAAAATTATGAAAATTATTTTATTGGTTACATGTGTCAAATTATCAAATGCAAATGTCAAAATGACAACATGATGATAAACCTCGGCAATCTTGCTCCCTTAATGTTGGCAGCTTGTAGTTTATGGTCCCTTTCCCACATGAAGGTTTAATTTTCCAATTTATTTATCCCCCAAGTTTAATAGCGTAAAAGATATAGTCTAAAGCGTGTCGTAAGTGTAGGGCTTTTTGTAAAAGAAAGAATTATTCAAAAATATGCTGTGATTGCTGACATCCTACGCCACAAAGTAGTGTGTGTTTACACTTTTTTATATTAGTAATAGAAGTATAAATGTAAATTTTGTATTATCAGGTGGCGGAATGCCTCGGCAAGCTGTGCCTGCTGGAGCCGAAGGACCTGCTGCCGCACCTGAAGGAGTTCCTCAAGTCCCCCGAGCCGCTCACGAGGACCACAGCAGTTACCGCTGTCAAATTTACTATATCAGATCAGGTTCGTTTTTGTGTTTGTTTAAGGGTCTTAAAAAGTTTTTTTTATTTTAATAATTCCACGAGTTAACGAGTAGTTTGTGATATTGAGACTATAAATGGTCTGTCTAAAAGTGTTTACCGATTTAAGTTTAAATTGTAATTTTAGTAGTAGTTAGAAACCCATAACCAAGTGAATTCAATCTAACTTATGTGGTCCTCGAGTCCTTCGGTAGGGGCATATTAGCAGAGTTTTACCTACCATTAAAACTCATATTATGTCCGGAGCCTTATTCGAGGCCTTGTAAACAATATTGAGATGACAGTCTGTCTT